ATTTTTCCTTTTCGATATTTTTCTTTCGACATTTTTCCTTTTCGACATTTTTCTCTTCGACATTTATCCATTCGGCATTTTTCCCTTTCGATATTTTTCTTTCGGTATTTTTCTTTCGGTATTTTTCCCTTTCGACATTTTTCCTTTCGGCCTTTCTACGGCCAACCTAATTAAATAGCTTCATTTTTTTTTACAAAGATATCATGCACATGTTTATTAGTTGAATTACTTTTTGATTATTATTTTAATATAAAGAAATCTTTTTTCCACAAATTTCATATACATTTTGACATTGGTTGGCGAATTTTATTTTTTATTATTCATGTGAATATGTATCACTTAAGTATATAGCAAGGTATATTTCAAATTTCGTATACCTCATATAAATGCAATAAAAAAAAATAATTATTAGCATATCATCGATCAACAACGATTGGCAACTAATTGAATATCAACATCAAGTAGATTGAAGTCTTTAGTATTTAAATTGCTTCTACGGTATACTTCTTGAGCTGATACAGAGAAAAGAAATAAAATACTTCTTTAACAACATTGCATTTATTTACAAAGCACACCAATATAAAAAAATGAAAAATAAAAGATATTTTTTAACCCAATTCGATGTTTTGAACAGTTACTATAGTCGCATTCCATTTCGTTGTATGACTTGTACATCTGGTAGCACCCCATTTCTTGCTAATCTTTGACAACGATTTAAATAAATAACCATTAGAACGTAATGCAATTGTTTTCGAAATCGTCCAGATACACAAATATAGATATAAAATGGACACTAAATGAAAAAAATGATCTCGTTCATATTGATTTACAATAACCAATTCAAAACTCACCTCAAAATTACACTGATAAATACATGTTAATAATGTATTAATAAATCGTATTCGTGCAGCAATTAATAGACCGTCAGCAAAAGTCGTATTCGATATAATTATTATTACGTAAAATAATAGTAGGTGAAGTAGCAAAGAAATTGAAAATAACTTCTACAAGAATCATTACTGTTAATTGGACTTCAAGTCGACGACGAACTATTGGTACTGTTCGATGAGAAAATTGTTTTACATTATAATAAGCTAACAATCCAAAAATAATTGCAATGAATGTTGGAATAGCCCACATTAAAACAGGTATTTGAAAAGTACTGTAATACTTTTCGTCGATAATATTAGTTATTGTGCATATAGCTTTTCCTGTTGTAGACGATATATTTTCGTTATATTAGAGTAAGACAGGAATTTCAGTGAGAAGACAAAAGAATGAAAGCCATTGTTAAAGTATGCGCTGTTTTGAGATTGTGCCACCGTCACCGTTGTGGATGATTGAATGTAGCTAAAAACTGATCGATTATTGCCAAAGATAGACATGTAGTTGAGATAACTGAACATGATTGAAAAATATAATATCTTATTTTACAATATGGTAGTGAGCTTTCCATCCAGTTTGTATCAACTATACAAAAACAAATACACGAGAAGTAAAACCTGTTAATAATTGACCAATGTTAACAGTTGATGCCACAGTTAAATAGAATGCACTTGAACTTTGTCAATAAGTTTGAAGACTGAGAAAGACAACAACGTTAAGGATTCCACCAAGTTAGGGGTGTCAATTTACAGTTTATTTTATTTAAAGAACGGGGGACGTTAACAGCCGAAATCGGCCCCCTGTTCAAGCACGACTTTTTCGTTTTCATTATGCTAGTTTTGACGCTACATCCACATTTTGAGCCACATTTTATCATTAAATCAAATCTAGACATCATCTACATTACTTTTTATATTGCACTAAAATCCACTGTATTTCCTTTGGGGAGCCGATCATTTTAATAAAATATTTCACTTATCATAGTTACTACTTATTTTAGTTTACCCGTCAGATTGTAGCCCTTTTCACGCTCTCTCTGATGGTATGTCAACATATGAGAAAACCTACTGAATTGAATTTGACACTGTCGGCATATCATACAAAAGTTCTAGTAAAGGTAAATACCGATGATGATACTTTTCGCGAAAGACTCAGATAATAATGTCGGTCCACGTTTACTTACGTATCATTCGATAGAGAGTTTCAAGATCTATCAAATGATGATAAAATATATACGGACAGTGTGCAGAAAGACAGTTCCGTTTCTTTTATTGAGATTTTTGTTTTCGTAGTTTTCTTCTCCTTGGTTAGATATTCTTATTTGTATTTACCTATATTGATGTTAGTAGCATAGATAAATAAAGGGATATATCTTTTTATGCAGCATACGTTTTCTCCAATTGAAAGATATTTGTTGAAAACATTACTTTATTACAAGGTGCATGTACTATCGGCTGTATAGTGTTTCGCTCTACTAATTGAGTCATACGTGGTAGAAAAAAAACTTTTCATGGCGCATTTCATTATATAGTAATGTTTAGTGATCCGGTCATATATGAACTAATCGAGAACTAAGGCAGACATTTCATCTAAGGTCACTGTCTTAGTGTGTATCCCTATTGTGAACGTTTAATATACAAACGATTATAATGAATGAACGTTGTTTTCCGTGTGGTGCTCATCTTGACTGCAGTTCTTGTGTCCGACCACTGAAATCACCATGCCTCAGAATGTTTATGTCTATTCGTACTCTTAAATCACTTTCTACCGATCAAAATGTGTGCAATGTTTGCCGACATTCATACATCAAGTGGAAAAGTGAAAATTCAGCATTCTCTGCAATGCTTGATCATTTCGAAAATGATATAGTAGTGATCAATGATGATGCGAATAGTGATTCGGTAATTTGTTTTTATATGATTGTATTTATGTTGATTTTTTGTTTTTAAGTATGAGTTGATGGACGTTCAGGTTCAAGCTGATGATTCATCTCGTTTAACAACTGTGGAAAATCCAACTTTGATTACAACTACAAATCATCAAGTAGTTAAGTTACAGCTAAATGCAACTTCCTCTTTCCATACGTAAGAAAAAAATTTAATGAAGAAAACAGATGTGTAATGTATTTTCACTAGGAAATGATGTGTTTGTCGTGAAAATCTTCGTGATCATGCGGTGAAAATTACATCTCAGGATAGAGATTTTATATTTTTTTCACGTAATATTTGGATACCAGAAGGGACACGATGTTGCTCAGGCCATTTAATTAATAATCTATTATCGAAAGACGCTGTTGATCAGATTAAACCTTTCTCAATACGATATCAAGAATTAAGCTCGTCGGATGTTCAACTTCTTTTAAGCAAAGCTCAGACTTTATTTGAAAATGGCAAGAAAAGATTTAGTTTCGATGATCCAAGAGATCTTAATGATGATGAATATTGTTTACTAACTAGTCTCTCAAGAGACCACTTTACTGATTTTGTTCAAATCACTTCTTCATCTATTATTCGCCCCTCGTGCAATCGATCGATAAGAACTGCGGTCGGCATTTTTTTATGTAAACTTCGTCTTGGTATTTCAAATAGACTATTAGCTTGCATGTTTCAAATAGCAGACAAACGAACAGTGTCTCGAATTATAAATAGTGCGCGTCAAGCTATTGTAAAGAGTTTTGTACCAGATAATTTAGGCTTTGGACATGTTACTCGTGAAGATGTTATTGGTCTCCATACCACAACAATAGCTCGAGAACTAATGAGCGGTGGTGACAGTACTGATACAGCAATAATTATTATTGATGGAACGAATCTTTATATTCAGGTGAAATAATTGCTTTTTGTAATGAATTTATTTTATGTTGCATTTTAGAAGTCTCGAAATAATGAATTTCAAAGAACGGCTTTTAACTTATATAAGAAAAGATCCTTATTAAAGCCAATGATGATTGTAACAACTACAGGTTATATCGTGGCTTGTATTGGACCGTTCATGTCTGATTTTAACAACAACGACGCTGCGATAATGAAAGATATTTTACTTCGCAATACCGATCACATTTTAAGTTGGCTAAAAGAAGTAATATTTTTCAAAGGAAAACCTTTATATAATTTTCTTCTTTAGCATGACACACTGGTGGTTGATAGAGGGCTTAGAGACTCTATCGGTGTTATGAAAGCTCTTGTGTTGGAGGCTACTATGACATCATTTCTTGATGGTAGACGTCAATTTTCAGTCGAAGAAGCTAACGAATCAAGATGCGTCACAAAAATACGCTGGATCGTGGAAACCGCTAACCGTCGACTCAAACAATTTAAGTACTTTGCGAATACCATTCAAAACTCGTCCCTAGTGTACTTAGAGTCTGATATGTCAATTGCTTGCACTCTCATCAATCATTATCAATCACCTATGACAAGATCTAAACTGGAAGATGAAGAGATAGGTGTACAAATAATGCAATTACGGCAACAAAAATATCAAATTCAGCTCGTAATTATTTTTAACATAACTTTTTCTGCAACTTGTATCATGTCCTTATTTAGCTCTTAGAAGAAAATAATCTAATCAAGCGGTTTCCTCTATGGGAAATAATTAATCATACCGAAATCATAGATGGTTTTCCTATTATGACACAAGACGATCTAGGAGATCTTACTTTTGGTAATAAATCTTCATTTAATTTCTCACAACTATCTATTTTTATAGGTGTTTTTCAATTGAAACGAGCACGTTCTTATGCTGAGGAGCGCTGCTCAACTACCAATCTAACCAGTGACATAGCTTACAGTGTACACCAATGTAAAATTATTCCAAATTTGATTCGTATTCCTACTCAATCCGCACATAGTAATCGAGTTACATATCATCCAACAATCCACTTTACTGATCAAGCAATTCTAGGTTGGTGGTGCGATTGCTTCACTAGTGCACGATTTCTCAGCTGTTGCAGTTATATAGCTTCAGCCATTTGGTTTCTTTCCCATCAACGATGGCAAACACAACAGTATCATATGCCATTGGGCGAATACAAAAACTTAGCTACAGATTTGATGCAAGTCTCAGATTTCTATGATCCGTCTGATGATGATGACTCACAACGATACACGTTAACATAAATATTTCAACATTCGATCTGTAAGGTTATTTTTTAACGGTTGACTATTGTACCCCTTTATTGAAGAAAACACTCCATCATATATACTATATGAAAAACTCAAACAGAGAGATAGTTAGTACTAGAGAGAAAGAGAGTAAGAGAGAGTTATTACACAGAACAATATATGTTCCTTTGACCTGTGACAAGAGACATAAAGAGAGAACTACATAGGAGAAGAATAGAAGTGATGATATGATCTCACGAAAGGTGAGGATCATAACACCTCCCCCGTACAAAAAAAGATGCGCGTCCCGCGCATCGAACAGCTATCAGTATAAATAAGATAAAGTGGTAAAATATGATTGCATGCGTTTGAATACTTTGTAATTAGACGACTCGTTCCATAACCGGTTGTAGTTGACTAATAAGAGCCCATGTAGATTTCTCTGTTTCATTGTCTTGAACAAAATAATTTTGTTCACCTGTCTTATTGATCACTTGGCAAGGTCCTATCCACCGTTCATCTAATTTTGTACGATTAGCACATACTTTCAGAAATACCAAGTCACCAATAGAATAAGACATCTTTGCGATGTTTATCATATCGTAGTTAGGCATGCACCGAACCCGAACTACCCAGTTTCGGTCATACCCGGATTCGGTCATACCCGGATTCGGTACTACGCGGTATTCGGTACTACCCGGGTTTCATCATACCCAGATTCGGTACTGGAATTCGAAGGTCTACTTATTCGTATTCTTCGAAGCATAGAAATGAATAACAAATAGTACCTATAGATCGATAGTAATAAATGATTTTATTTCAAAGGTTTATGGTCTTTTCCTCAATCGAGCATAGATAATCTTATCTATCAGGACAGTATACAATTAAATGAGCTTTTATGAACATTTCTCTTGGACTCAGCTACAGGAAATCATCGAATAGTTCTTCTTATTGAAATGATCCGTCTGATAGTCTAAGTAGGGATCTCAGAATTCGAATACTACCAATACCAATAAAATTTAGTACTTTTGATATCGATATTAGCATTATTAGTATTGATATTGTTAGTAGACCGATGGAAAAAATCATACATCCGCATTTTCGGAAAACTTAATAAGGAGAGCCATTCGACGATTTCTTGTAGTTGAGTCCCAGACAAATATTAAGAGAAGCTCATTTAACTGTATCCGTTCCTGATAAATGAGATTAACTATGATACGTTGAGCAAGGTAGAGGATCTTTGACATGAATTCATCTTTTATCACCTACTCTATATATCCATAGGTGCTATTTATTATTCATTTCTATGCTTCGAAGGATACAAATAAGTAGATCAGAGAATCCCAGTACTGAATCTGGGTATGATGAAACCCGGGTAGTATCGGGTACCCGGTATGACCGAAACCGGGTAGTACTGACCCGAACTACCCGGTTTGTACCCGGGTTCGGTGCATGCCTATTCGCGAGGCATTTGCTTCAAATGAAAAGGCGATATTCCATTACAATCAGCGTTGCTTGTAAAGTTATGCCTTGATTTGTCGTAAATCCCTCAATGAGTATGAAAATAAACCAAAGACTGGATGTAGTGATTTTTAGGTATCATTTCTGTTGATATCCAAGTTAGTTGATTTTCTTTTCGGTTGTGTAAAGATCTTATAGCATTCTAGTTTTTTTAGATTTGATTTGTAGCTTGTTTCGTTTCTTTGCTAATGTGACTAAGTGTGGTACTCATGAAGCTTTATGTTCTGTAACAAGTAAAAATTCACTGACGCGATCAAATACTGAAGAAAGTAGAAGAGAAAATACATAAAAGAATTTTTCAGCATCAAAATTGTAAACCACCATGCTTAAGCATTCGTATATATTTTTATAGAAAAATTGATAAAGGTTTCAATTGGTCTCCTTGAAATCTTTCTTTTCGGATACTGAGAATAGGGCTTCAAAATATACAACATAATGATCTCATGTTTGTTCCTTCTATTATTGTTTCAAATCGTCACATTTTAGTATCATTGATAACCCCACAATCAATAAATTCATGTGATCTTTTATATATTGGCTTAATCAGTGCGATTAATTGAAATCATTTTAGATCGAGTCAACATTTCAATTCATTTCCAGGTGCATTGCTTTCCTTACACATTCATTGTGAATATTTGGCATTATAATTGTCAAATATATAAAAAATTTTGGATACACAGGTTTCGACTAAGTTGAGTGGAATACTATACTTTGCATAGACACCTGTTAAAATAAAAATTAGAGGATTATGAGTTGCTATTAAAATATGAAAGTCAGCAATATAGGTACTTCAGTTTCATATAATGCTTCAAGTAAATTTGTTCCCATTGACGTAATACATGACTGAATTATAGTCGACATGCTTTTAATTATTTCATTCTGTGCTTGAATTTATTGCGTAAATAAATATCATCCATGTAGAAAACATTGATTTGTTTTTCGTATTTCACGTTAAATTGTTTAATTCGTTATTGAAATTTTTTCGAGTCAATTTAATTTCTTCATAACGTTTTTGCACTATTATTAGCTTATTGGAACCAGGATTAAGTTGAGATCAAGAGTTGACATTCATACTAAATGTTTACCATTGCAATGATAACATTTAATTGTACATTCTAAATGGGCACCACGTTTTTGGTCACATCCAAAACGACGACATTGATCATAATTAAATTAATATTTCTTTTACATATGTCCCGGAGACTTACATTTAGAACGGATAAGTAGTTTTGGAGCCTTAAGGAATTCATTTAGTGTGTAAAGTTGATTTAAACAATGATATATATCCAATATTTGAATGTGAATCATTTCGACCAGTCTAGTCAGCTCTCACATGCATTGTTCGATTTGTTTTAGTTCCAATTCATTCATTACACCAATATTTTGGAATATATTTCTCTTTTACTGCTTGACAAATTTTCTCAATTGAAATGTGATTATGAAAAACTTTAATCAATACGAAGAATGATGTTAGTAGATATTTTGACAACTGTATTTCGATTTTTATATTGTTAATTTTATGCGTGTGATTCGCTTATGTATATTAATGAATAAACATTTCAATATATTTTATTAATATCATCATATAAACTTCTGCATTTATCCATCACATACGTCAAACGCTAATAGTTTTTAGTTTCTTTCTGATGTGTGTGACTACGCTTATTGCCAGCTTGATAAAAATTTAAAAAAATATCAAGATGTATATTTGATTTCGCCCATTCATCAATATGTGCGTCTTTATATCATGAATTTCAGCATTTTCCTGACTATTTTGTCGTTGTAAAATTCTGTGATTCTGATTTAATTGATGAATTTTAATTGTATTCATATGTATTTTGATTTATGTCTATCTCCTTAAGAAGTTGCAAAAAATGAATTTTCAAATATTACCAAAGTGCACGTGTATATACATGTGACATCTGTACGTGAAATATACGGAGCAGAGAGAGAGAGAGAGAATGGAGAATGGGAATTTTGCAGCATCACTTTCGAGTGGATATTTTCTGGTTTTTGTATTGACGAGACCATGGAGTCAAAAAATGATCGATAAAAATGAGCATGTCAAATAAGTAACAGAAAAAAAGAACTCGTGTAAAAGCACATTAATGCTGTCCTTCACATTGCACTTAATAACATGACGCGTACCGGCGGCGACAGAAACTGCATTTTTTTGCTAATTATTATGTCATTTATTGAGATTCGTCTGAGTCGATTGCTGAAAAGTCACAGTTGGCACTGGCAGTTTGAATTTTTCTTTTCGTTAGAAGACAACTCAGTCTGTTTTTAATTGATTATATATACACCCACAAATGTGAAATAAAAAATATGTCGCGTCGAAAAAAAACTATTGATGCTGAGCGTATATGTTTATTCGGTGTTTAGCACAGCCGTCTCGTTCACATTTCTCTTTTTTTCAGTGTAAAAAGAGCATTTCATTCAGAAATATAATTACTTGCTCGTTTCTTCGTTATACTTTGTCAAGGTTTTATTTCATCTTCCTGTACGGCAATCGCAGAGAAAGAATGAATAACTATTTTACCATTTGCATCACATACAAAATCAATAAATAACCGAGAAGAAAATGTCGATTATAGCTAACCTATTTGAAGATCCTAGAAAAGATCCTGTTGCCGCATTTCTTCTACAAGTTTTTATTACTCTCATTCTGTCCAAAATATTCACTAAACTCTTGTCATTTATTCATCAGCCGGCAGTCATTGGTCAAATTGTAGCTGGTATTGTTCTTGGACCGAGTGTACTAGGTTTTGTGCCTGGCTTTAGTTCGTTTGTGTTCGATACTCACACTATTGCCTCTTTTCAATTAGTTTCATCGCTGGGTCTCATCTTTTTCATGTTTTATCTCGGTCTAAAAATGAACCCGAATGAAATTCGGCAAGGCTGGCAACGTACATTACCCGTTGCTCTAGTCAGCATTATCGTGCCCGTAAGCATTGGATGTGTTACCAGTCTATGGCTTTATGCAATGGTTCCACCTAATGTTAGTAAGGCATCATTTATTCTTTTTGTTGGTGAGAAATTTCACAATTTACTGAGTATGCGTGAATGAATTAATCTTTTCCTTTTTGAAAAATCGCAGGTTCCGGTATTGGTTTCTCTGCCTTTCCTGTTTAGGCTTCCATTTTACAAAGCATGAATCTTATTACAACACCACTTGGTGAGTATAACAATGCAAGAGCCGAACAATATTTTATTCTTGTTTGGATTTTTTGCGTATCCTTGAACATCATTATGAAAAAATAAGTTACAATAACTGATCAGCGACGCGAGGAATGAATTTTCCGAGAAAGACTCATTATTCGAAGACAACTATAGATCTTACATTAAACAAGAGTTGTAGATGCATGTTTAGTAGTAAGAGCTTCTTGCAAAAACAAGAAAGACTCTTATATATGATGCCAAAGTTAAGAGTATTCCTGCTTCATTAGATGATATATCGAGAATTACACAAAAATTATCTTAACATAGTTGCAATAAAATGTGAGTTGCAGAAATATTCTTTATGATCTCTCACAGCAATCATTATGTCGGCAAGGTTACACTACTTCGACAAAACTATGAACTCAGAGAATATCGCCGATCATTTACCTGATTTAGATAAAGCTAACTTCGGTGCCGAAGCTAAAACAGTAACAACAAGTTATGGATTGCAGGTTTTCCAGTAGCTATTTTCAATGCTCACGAGTTTCGAACTCACTTACTTAAGTGAAATCCATAATGATTATGAGGCTACAATTGATGAGACGAATGATTTTAAAGAAAAGTCAGATCAAGATATTACAAATCATGTCGTAATGGAATAGATGGAAAATATTTTTCAAATCCTTTGTTTTCGTCGAAATATAACTTTTATATTTCAGACGCTCGAAAATCCATCGAAAATAGAAAATCATTTATTTGAAAATATACTTCACATAAAATTCTAAACAGTGTCTAGTTTTCATTTCAATTGCAATGTATTTCACCGAGAGCTCTTCCATTCATTGATGAACAAACAACAAATGTAAATGCTAAACAGGATACAATGCTACTAACACATACACAGTTCACTCTGTTACTATTTTGAAATTCATTTTTGCCTTTAGCGGATGGTGGATTTGTACAAAAATCTGTCAAAATTTCAAGGAGTTTACTTTTGTTGAACGCAAGGCAAGTGAATTTCAAAATTGTAACAGAACTTTTGGGACATCCTTTATATCAAAGTCCCCCACTAATAAGTTATTTAGTTTCACGTTCACTTGTTCTTGTCAGTCATACAAAAAAAATAGCAATTCACTAATATATATTCTTTTGCCGTTGCTAGAATATTATTTCACCTATTGCTTGTATTGTCTTTCAACTAGGGGTGGACCATTTAATTTAATGCGAGTTAATTAACGCCGCTAATTAACTAAAAGCGTTAACCGTTAATATTAACGGTTAACTGTTTTAGTTAACGTTAATTTTAAATAAACGTAAATGTACCACCCCTACTTTCAACTACAATTGGTTTTCCTAATTTCGCTGGTAATGTGTAGCTGATTTTTTTATAAGATAGAATTTACTGTTCGCTGTCGATCAGTTTGATCATACATTCCCACCAAAATTTTTTGTGATTTGTGATGACATTCTTACTGTGAATGTATCTTACATTAATGTATTTATCATACAACAAGGGTTTCACATAAGAGAACTGCGCATTTGGCTGTAGAGAGACATCATGAAGTAGCTGTAATGCAAAATACTTCAAAATCACTCGTTTTCTATACAAAGTATATTTGAGCTATTTCATAAATTTTATAGAAGGATAATTATCTCCTATTTACATACTCTCACTATCCGTTTTACATAAAAGTTTACTATTCGATATGTAGTTTACAGTCGTAAAAGTCGAATTTCTTCAAGATCATTTTCTTGTAATACGAAATCCTTCCGAAATCGTGACTTTGCTGATAGATATGGACTCCGCATACGTATCCATGTTTACATACCCAAATTCACCTTCAGTTATTTTAGTTTAAAAATTGTTTGATATATTTATAAGTGACATAATTCGAACTTGCTGCTATAGAGCTAACTGTAAAAAGGAAAAAGAAAAGCTTGCTTAAATTTAAGATAGCTGATTCCTTATTCATGTTTTCTTTCCTTGTTTTTATTCAGGTGTATTGACAATTAGCGTTGCAGCAATCGAAGACATAGTTGTTTGGGTGATTCTGGCTGTGGCAACTGCTTTTAGTAAAGGAGGTCCAGCTATACAAGGTCTCTACACTCTTCTACTAGCTTGCGCTTTTATTCTTATCATGCTTGTTATTGTTCGTCCATTGCTGTCGCTTCTTCACGTTTACTATCTTCGTAGAAATGATGAGTGCAACATCTATTTTATTGTTGTCTGCCTATTACTTCTTGTTATCGCATCGCTCGCTACTGAAGTCATCAATATACATGCATTTTTTGGCGCATTCATTGCTGGTCTCGTTATTCCTCGTCATCAACAGAAAGGGACTATACATGAATTTTTAGCAGTTCGTATTGAATTATTTATTATTGAATTTTTTCTACCTCTTTACTTCACAAATTCTGGATTGAAGACACATTTGTATATGTTGAGCGCTGGTCGAGCATGGTACACATTAATTGCCATTGTGCTTATCGCATCTCTCAGCAAAATAATACCTGTAACTCTAATGGCAAAATTAGTGACAAGAAAAAAGAGTCATGGTCTTTTGCTCTGACTGTTGGCATTCTAATGAATACACGAGGTATCGTTCAATTGGCTGTACTCAATATTGGAGTTGAATTGGGCGTTCTTTCACCTGTCATCTTTGCTATTTTCGTTGTAGCTGCTGTAATTATGACATTTGCTACATCACCACTAGTCTATTTATATTTAGTCTATACTAGGCATAAACCTCCTAAAAAACAACAGTTTATCGAAGTAAAAAAGAGTAAGAATCCAGTACAGAAACGGTATTATCTCGAAACACATTCAACCAACGATCAACAATTAAAGCCATTTCGAAAATTGCGTCTTGAATTACCCTCACCATTATCAAATAATGCAATTCCTATTCATGCGAGAAATTTTCCGAAATTTATGAATACCAATAGATAAGTGATACGATTTTCAAACACTTTCTTTACTATCAAATTTTAGTTACATACTTTTAAAAAGACGACAAACGAAGAATAGCCCATACTCTGTCTTTGGATTTCTGAAATAGTTTATCGAAATCCCTGTATCACGCTAACAAGTTGTGTATACGTAGAATATTATTCCTTAAAAAATCTTCTCAGGGGTTAAAATACTGCGTAAAAATCTATCTTATTTCTAGCGTGTGTAGTTCAGACATTAATATAAAACAGATACTGCCAATGCAATATTTTTCTTTTATGAATATTTCAAAGTTTCTCTGCTTTCTTCTACCCTGTCTTTATATACGTATGTCTAAGTAGTAACGTTTTGATAATATTTAATAAGCTATAAAACACAAGAGAATTTTTGAGATTCATAGCTAGAAGCCTGCAATGTAATTGAAAAAATTGTTAGTACAGCTATTTTGGAACTTAAAGAAATGGAACTTACATATCTTATTCAACGTCATTATGCTAATAAAATCTTCAGAGAATGTAAAATTTCCCATAGGAAATAGCTCATTCCCAATGGAAATCGCCTGTCAAAAAGCCTAGTTTTTTTTATTTTCATTGTTGTAACTCCCTCTTTATTTTTCATTTTTATTATTATAAGTATTGAATTAAAATATAAATAATGCTATTATTAACAATCATAATTGAGTTATGACTGTTCAGAACTGTGAATGGATGAAGTCGGGAATCTCTTACTGTGAAACTGTCTGTACAAGGATGAGTATGATGATAGCATGCACGATCGGTTTCGAGTTAATCACAAGTCTTCAGTGTTTGGGTGTGGGTGTTATCTCTTCTTATTGACAGTCACACCCACACCCACACTTCGCTGTACTCTAGAAGCCGCTTTTTCCACGTTGTAAATTCACCAATATCGATAAATTTGATAAATATGAATTTAATTCATTACGAGATGTTCGACAAAAACTTGTTGGTATATGAAGAAATTTCAGTCAAACAAAATGTGAGAAAATGATGAATAGTATCCCTAAAAGATTGAAAGTTATTACCCAAAAACACGGTCAACTCATCACCAGATTTGATTATTGACGGCTGTGCTAAATATCATTCTAACGAACTTATAAACTATTGAAATCTTTTATTGAAATCGTTTTTGTTTAATTTTCTCAAAAACTGCAAGGTGAAAATATTCACTCAAGAATAGTAAATTGCCCATAAGATTGTAATAAATTTATGTATTTCGAATTATTTGTCTTTGACAAAGTAGCTCAAGTTCTGTTCTACAAAAAAGCATTTTCGATTAATTATATATACATATAAGTTTGTGATAGATATCATCGATTTACTGAGAGGGATCGAAACCTTTGAACCGCCCTTTATAATACATTTTAATCTTATCTTTATGGGAGATATCGTTTCTACGTCAATCTGGAGGTTAGAAAGGTTAGTACTAGTGCTTATGTTAGAATCTATATATTGATAATACTTGCATATCCGATCTAATCTGTATAAAAAAAAGCAAATTATACGAGAAAAACTATTCGTACAGATTATTTTTGTGATAGTAGACCATCTAGACAGTCAAATCTATGAGTTGAACCAAAGTAAATTCATGAGCGACCTCTTGTAACTTTTTCGCTATCCGAAATGATATATTAACTTTTGGCTCGTTACCTAGAGGAGATAGACGGATTCATACTGAGTCAGTCCATTATCACCCTTTCTAATTTTATAATGCCTATATCAGAATCTTCTCCTATTGAAACACAAGGGGAGCATCGTAATCAATTCTCCTTATTATCTTAAAGTGCGAAAAAGTACCTGAAATATCATGAAGTGAAGCAATTGCTAATTCAAAAGACTCTGAATCTCATATTTTTTGATGTTTTCATGTCAACAATATATTATTGTGGAACAAAGGGAGATCAACCCTGGAAACAGGTGCTCTTATAAATTCATCGTCAACATACAACAAAATATTGGTGCAATGTTTTTTAGTATGGTTTTCTCGAAGAATTTTTTATGTGAAAGTTATTGCAGATAGTTGGTCATATTTATGACTTCATTATTACGCATGAAATTCATTAATAGTGGAATCCACCACCAGCATAGTTATTGGTCTAAAGGTAAGTTCGGTGAATACGATTACTCAGTGATGGTACTGCTTTATAAACAAAGTTGAAATTGAATAATTATTATATATTTTCTTTTAGCGTTGTTTTTAGATTAAATCTTTTTTCAATAAGATTTAGAATTTTATTCTATAAAAAATTATGCACTAATGTGTTTCACATAATTGAAAGCAAAACTGTTATTGTAGTATTATTTACTAGCATTCAACTTCACCAATTTTCAATTTTCAATTACGAAGCAGTTGCCTTCTGCATGTGCGAATACTCAAGTCAATTCGTCGACATTTCTCTTCATATAGTTTACCGTGAAAATGTACCAAAACAGAGCATCAGTATGTGATATTTACGTACTAGTCTTGTTTTTTTCTATCATGATCAGCCACCCATGCGTTGTTAGAAAATAACGCTATGAATCTTGTGAAGTACAGTTTTGTTGAAAACGATCAAAATCAAAAGGCATACTGAGAAGGTAATAGTTTCTGGATCATGTGGTGAAAGTTCTTTTGAAATTTGTAGAAGCTAGTGACTTGTGTTAATAATGCAGTAGCAGTTTTGCTTTTAATTAAATGAGACACATTTGTGTATAGTTGTTTAGAGAATAAAATGTTACATTTTATTGAGAGAAGTTTGTTTATGAAACAATAAAACTTGGCAACTCGCTATTTTAAAATACTTTATGATAATCTAAACTAGTTTAACACAATTTAGTGTACCTGACGTGCAAAAGAATGTCTGTTTCTCGTTTGAGATAAAAACAAAATATAGTCTACAGGCAAACTACAAGCCCAAATTACAAGGCCTACCAATCGACCACGAACAGTAAGAGTAAAAAGATTGGAGAGAGAAAATAGAAGAGATAAAAGAAAAAAAGATATATTTACCTTTTAAGCATTATAAGAACGAAAAAGAAGTGCCACGGAGAAGTAAAAGAATGTACGAAGTATAGCTAGCTTGGTTAGGTTACGTGAAGAAAAAGAAAAAAATACACTATAAGTACATCGTATATAAATAGACTACAGAGAAGTAAATTTTCATTACTTGTTGTTTGGACGAAACGATCGTTACTTCTTCACTTTATACACAAATTTTCATTATAAAATAATATGATAAACAAAGTGTTCTACGATTTGGTGCGATCAGCACCAAAAGGTCGTTGGTCTGGGATTCAAAGGACCTATGGACCTGAAGAAGTTCAACGATTGCGTAGTGGTCTCCAGATTGAATACACTTTGGCGGTAAGAATTTTTATGAAATTTTTCAAACTTTTGTAAAATTACATAGTGGTTTGAATATACTTACGTGTCCCTCTGCTCCAAATATGAAATTAAACAGGGATTGTTCTTCTGCTATGCAGTGATATAACCAGCTTTTTCGAAGAAAGCATTCTCAATCTAAAAAATACGCAGACTTTAATACACATAACAAAAAGGGAATTCAGTGGTCTTGATGCGATGAGAGATACGAGTACCCAGAGAAATCATTTCTCTATCCTATGTCACTGCTTTTAGATAAGAGTATATTAGCCTTTACCTCGGATTGTTATATATATCTAGGGATGCCTATTTATATAACTATCTTTTAAATTATATATTCAAGTAAATCATTCGTTTTCTTTGTCATATTCTTTTCTGATCACACGAATAACGAAGGAAAACGTCACAGAGTGCTCAAACGGCGATATATATTCGTTGCAAACTCGATTTCATCATGAACACCTTGATCGCGTGTACTTTTCATGAGTTAAGATTTGTTTCAGTTTCAGCATGTTGCTTTTCCTTTGTTTGCATATTCATCTCAAAGCAACAAAACAAAGCTTTGTAGATAATAGTAAACAATCCTAGATAGCAGTTCACTTCCTACTTCTTCAACGATAAGTTCCATACACTTAGAGCAAGAGAGATCGGTAACTTGGAGAGCTTTCCAGCGATCTTCACTTTACCTGAAAACCAATGGCGTGAAACTTTTTCATAATTTACAGACGATTGGGGCGAACAAGCTATGGAATTTGTTACACACTGAACCATACGTGCATGCAATAGGGGCTATCACGGGAAATCAAGCTATGCAAATGGTCCGCGCTGGTTTGCGTGCGATTTATTTGTCAGGTAAATATCTTTACTTCTTAAATTTAGGTTCATTCATTTGATTCAATCAAGTTTTTATTGAAGTCAATGAACAGAATTGAATGATAGAACTTCTTAATAATATAAAATTGTTTCCTAAAAGATTGCGAGAAATACAATTGAAAATTTTTGATACAAGTTGCAAAAACGTTCAAGAAAGAAACTTAAAAAGGATGATATGTATTTAGGTTGGCAAATAGCAGCAGACGGAAACTCAGCCGGATCCATGTACCCGGATCAAAGTTTGTATCCATCAAATTCTGGGCCTGAAATGGCCCGTAGAATCAACAAAACTTTGGAGCGTGCTTCGCAAATCGAACACTCTGAAGGCGGAACGAAACACGATTGGTTTGTTCCCATTGTTGCCGATGCCGAGGCTGGATTTGGAGGCCCTTTGAATTGCTTTGAAATCATGAAGGCGTATATTGAAGCCGGAGTTGCTGGAGTTCATTTCGAAGATCAATTGGCTTCCGAGAAAAAATGTGGGCATATGGGGGGAAAGGTAAATAGTTCAAAACTACAATTTGAATTTCAAGTTGAAATAAGTCTTATTCAAAAACCCATTTTCAGGTATTGATTCCCAGTAGTGCCCATTTGCGAAATCTGAATGCAGCTCGTTTAGCAGCAGATATTTGTGGAGTCCCAACCGTCATTGTGAGTCGAACGGACGCAGAATCAGCGACACTTTTGACATCGGACTTCGACGAGCGGGATCAGGAATTCATTGACATTCCAGCCGGTCGAACTCCAGAAGGATTTTTCCGACTGAAAAAGGGAAGCGGATTGAAACACTGCATAAAACGAAGTATCGGTGCAGCTCCATTTACAGACCTTCTTTGGTGGGAAACTTCGACGCCAAATTTAGAACATGCAAAAGAATTCGCAGAGGCGGTACAAAAGGAATTTCCTGGCAAAATGATGGCCTACAATTGCTCTCCTTCGTTTAATTGGCGAGCAAATTTGAGTCCAGAAGCGATTGCTAAATTCCAGGCAAATTTTTGCAATTTTTTTATAAACATTTTTCACATTTCAACACTTCTTAGGTCGAACTCGGAGCCATGGGCTACAAATTTCAATTCATTACGCTAGCTGGATTCCATTCACTGAACTTTGGAATGTTCGAACTTGCTCGAAACTACAAGGATCGTGGAATGGCCGCCTATTCAGAAGTTCAACAGGAGGAATTTGAAGCTGAAAAACATGGATACACGGCCGTTCGGCACCAACGTGAAGTTGGAACTGGATATTTCGATATGGTGGCTATGGCTGTTACAGGTAAAGAAATCGAACTGATCGAATTCATGATCACCAATGACGCGTGATTCGACAGTTAAATGTTAGGTTTCTATGAATTTTTTCGCGAAAAAAAATCTCTTGATTTTCAGACAGTTCCGAAATATAGAATAGTCTGTAAAATAATTTGAATAAATGATAAGGAAACTACTTTAGGAGGAAAGGCGAGCACAACTGCCTTGTTCGAATCCACTGAAGCTACGCAATTCAAGAAAAAAGCACAATAAATCCCAGTTTCCAGCTTCCAGCTTCTAAAAGGTCGACTGATTCAAAATGTTCACGACCCAACTAGACGCTGCCGTGTAAACTGAATCTTACTTTTTAATTATAAAAAATAAAAAACCATTCAAATTCACTTTTAGTAGTCTAATGCCAAATATGGCGGAGGCTGGTCGTATGCAGAGGTGTGTTTAAATACAGGGGGGAGGGGAGAGAAGCTGATTGACAATCACTGAGAATCAAAAGATTGCTTATCAAAATAGAGAAAGTTATGGTGTTTATTTTGTACTTTTCGTGTTAAAATGTTATATTAATGTGATATTTATCGACATAAAAGAAAATTTATTAACGTAGAGCGGACTCTTTGAACAGTAAACAGTCGAAAAAGCACCTGTATATCGTTTGCTTACTGTGAATTCACGTGGTTGCATGTTTAAGAGACGAAACGAATCTATATTTATTTAACTTCATTTCCATATATTCGTTATACAGTTGTTTTTCTTGATATGTCTCTCTAGAAACATTCAATATTATGGATCTTCGTGATGAAACGTTTTATCATTAGTGTACGGCAATTTGCAGGAAAACAGTCACTGGACTACTATCTCTCATCTTGAATCAGATGAACTTATTGATCTTAAAAAGAATACATGCGTTACATTGAGCAACTGTTTCATTTATCGTCTTTCAGTCGTCGAATCATCGATTATGAATGTCACCAAACTTTTTTTTAAAACAAGCAAGAAAAACTTATTAAACAATCTAAACGACGTCAATCAATTGCTATTTCTTCTGTTTCATCAATGCCCAACATGATCTCGAACAATTTAGCACCAACGACCATAATTCTTCGATTGATTTGTCTACATCTAGTGCTTCGTTCAATTTTTACCGAGCTGTTTCATCATTGGCAACACATGTTCTTACAGATGAAATAAAAACTGGAATTTTAAATACTATTATTGAATGGTTTAAACATAATAATGATAAAAAAAATTTTGATCAATTTCAATATCAATCAAGACAGACTCTTTCAAGTTGAATTGAATAGAAATTCATGGGGAATAATCTTTTAAAAACAAGGTTCAGTTGAAAGATCTTTGGAGTATTACCGCGCACAAGCCGTTACTTCTATAAAAGAATAGTATGCGTTGCGCTATTATCTTTCAAAAAATATCTAACAGTTGATTGCAAAATAGTTTGACATTGATACAATCGATTAGATAATATTAGATGTTGAGTTTCATACTTAACATTAGAATGAGCTCTCAAGTTACGATTGTCGATTTTGTGAAAATCTATTTGTTTTTTTTTCAATTCTTTCATGGGATGTGGCCTTGTTTGTGACTGGTGTAGGTATTTCTGTGCTTCAATGGCGCCGAGACCCGCACCATCATATCTTCTTTGTTTCTATACACTCATACGTGACCACTCTCTTTTATATCAGGGAATGTAATTACAGGATACGCACGATTAGAGATGTACACATGGCACGATACATCATTATGCCGACGGACACAAGCGACACTCTCTATGTTCGTCACACTTAGTACCAGTCCGTCTTGGATGGTTGTTTGCAACATATTTATTGAATGATTGCAGGTTGATGGAAGGAATTTCATATGTTAAAGAATAAAAAGTCAAATGAATTTTATTTTATTCATTCCAAAACAAAAACATTAAATCTAATAATCAAAATTCATTCGACTATCTTGCTGCTTCAGCCGTGCTTGTGTAGCAGCGGATATGCTTTTTGGAAGGTACAAGGTCGTCAGTGTCTAAAAGAAAAGTGAAACTGAACAAATAACAAGAATATGCAGCAAATAAAAGAAGTTAAATTGTTTGTCTCAGTACTTTTACGAGACGTTGTATGGAGCTCCCACCAATTCGATTATTATATACATAAAAAGACATGCGCGTCCCCAAGAAAGTATTTAAAAAAAATTGCTTTCTGATTAATCGCTATGATTTGTAGATTCTTTTCATCTACTTGGGTAGGTGATCTAATTACAAAGTTATTGATAAGAAAAGAGGCATGATACATAAGACAGCAGTGTTTTTCAAATTAAGAAATTCACAACTTATGATCACTCGGAGACTCGACTGACTCAGATGTATACTGAAAGAAAAGATTATGATCACAAACTCTGCCCATCTTAGATCATCTTTCCTGTGAAAGATAATAGAATTATTGCATCGAGCTTTTGTGATCATAACATCAAAAAATCATCAATCTACTCATATTGCGAGTGTTTCTCCAGTATCGATGAGTCTTTACGCATATCGATCGATTCTTAATGTCCGAATCGAATACATTCAAAGTCACATTGACGATACAATAGTTTGTATCAATTGACTAAATTCAACTTTATTTCAGTGGATAAAAAAACAGAAAAATCATTGGATTCTTTTGTCTTGCTGCTTCAAACGTGTGTCAACAGGAGCAGATATTTTTTTGCCACCAATATATAGATATTGCAAAGTCTAGAAAAGAAGAATAGAACTCAACATGCTAAAAAGATTGTTCTTTGAGATAATTATTCACTTTATTGTGTTTTAGTGCTTCTCCTACAAGATGTGCTGCGTTATCGGTAATTTGATTATTTTCCAAATTCAACCAAGTGAAACTCTGTACAGAACAACATCAGCAGGTATTATATGCTGATATTTCTTGCTTTAAATACATTTTGCAGATGTATTGACCTCAAGTTTCAAACTATCGTACAACATAGAAGCTTCAATGATAATACAACGGGGTAATTATAGGCATATTGAGCAGAAACGAATTCAATGTTTCATAGATAAAGTTCCGCACGTAGAGACTTTCATTTGATTATCTTCAGTTTGATACAGCTCGAGTAAACTAATCTTTTGTGATCAAGCAATAGCCATATCATTCGTAATAAAGCTCTTAAATACATTCAACATTCATTTGAGTTTAATCTCAGTATTGGACTAAAGCATTCGGCGATCGTTTATTATGTTCTATGTAGAAATACTACAGAACAATGTCAGAGAAAACTTTTGGGATTAGTTATTCCTTAGAAAAACTATGAGATTCAGTAATATACGATAGATTTCAAAAGTACCACAGAAGATCTTAATAGAAAAGAAATCCGCAAGATTATCGAAGCGGGATGCGTTCTCAGACTTCGATCCTCCAATTCAGATATCGATAATGCAGGTTCATATCGCTCTTTTTAAAAAGAACTGATAGATGTCAACAAAAGAAGAAGAGCGCTTTGATTGTTTACGATATAGTTAACTTATCACACTCAGAAAAATTTCATAACTAGTTGTAAAACTGAAGAAGTCTCTTACTTTGTTCAACTTAAGCGAATCGGCCAACTGTTGTGCCCCATTGTCTCCGATTTGGTTTGTATGCAAACTCAATTTTGTTAGTACCTATGTCAAAGACGGAAAACTACTTAGGCAGATACATATTTATGGTATTCAACGGCTTCATTTACTAACTAAGATATTCTCAACTACCTATAGACGAAATTCAGAGATATAATGTTTATCTGATTTTTCCAGTATAGATTTTTTTCAGAACAGTAGTTTTAGGTGGACAAAGACACGAATTCGTATTGGCTAGTCACACTACAACCTCAGAGATGGCGAACTTTTCATGAGACTTTGGCTTCATCTCTGGTCATTTTGTGACTCTTATAAATACCAGGAGCACTTCGAATGATCAGAGAGATTGCTAAATACTGCTCTAAACAAAGATGATATGTATTTACACCTACAACAGCGCCCGTAGTATGACTATGAAAGTAACTCACATTGTGTGAGACGATGAAGCAAATCGATCTCAATCGAAGCTGCACTGGATGCGTATATTGAAAGAAAAAGGCAATAGATACTCCTATAATTCCTTAACGAGAAAAATAATTGCGAGAAATATACTAAACTAATAAAGATCTCGAATCTTTACTGAATATACTTCTCGAAAATGTTTTATTCTCCACGATAACGTGTGAAACACTCAAAATAATTATAGCTTGTTAGTATTAAGCAATTTAGCAAGATATTGAGTTACATTATCGCTGCTTTTATTTCCATACATGTGTAGCTGAAATACTATGTTCTGTCTCTCTGATGATTTTTATTTATCCAAGTCTTCAAAGATGTAACGCTACAAAACATACCACTACTTTCTCTATTAACTAGTGTCGGCACTAAAGAAGGGAGAAGCGTTAAACTTTGAGTACTCGTAGGAAGTTGATCGATGTGTTCACAAAAGATGTGTTTTTATTTTACGTGGATTGCATCACTTCCATGACAAAATTTGACCAGATCTACTCCATTTCGAGTAGCATGAGTAGATTAAGAAATACGCTATAAATCATATTTATGTCAAATCTACACATTCTAATGTGTATTGATATTAGGATCATGTTCTCAACCGAGTAGCCGTTAACACATTCAACGAGAAAAGAAGCCTATGCCTCCCAGAAGCCAAGTACTGTACGAAGAAAAAGCTTCTATGATCTCTAAAGAAAACGGAAAAAGCTTCTACTGTTGTATCTTTATTAAATCACTCGGCTTCCTGTGAATTACTCTGGGCATTATAAAAGAAGGCCACTTACTTTATTAATTTTTAGTGCTTCAGCTAGATTCTGTGCTCCGTTGTCTCCAATTTGATTATTGTATAGGTACAATTCCTTGAGTGACTATAATTTAGAACAAAAATTCAGAGTGAATCCTATGCTAAAGTTTAATGTAGTAATTTTTGATCTGCAATGCGCTGAACTCATCGTCAGGAGCATCTGGGAAAATATCTTCTTAATTCTCTTGTGTTGAT